TGGAATGGATCCCAGCCATACTGTGTTGGTACGGCCACATGTTTTTACCTTTCATCATTGTGTCGTTTTTGTTATTTGGGGGATGATTAAAATAAAAGCTTTAATTTAACTCCTTCTGTTGCCTCTCTGTTTTGTAGCTGTTCAGTGTCCTGCTCTGCAAAACTTGACAAATGGCTTTGTCAGCTGTGGAGAAGATGCTGATATGAGGTTCAGCTACAAAAACAGCTGCAGCTTCAGCTGTGACCAAGGTTACCATTTAGTGGGAGCCAGTAGAGTGACCTGCACATCAGGAGGTACATGGAATCAGCAGATTCCTCACTGTGAAGGTAAGAGGAACACGGAAAGTAGAACCCACCCATCTTCTATATCACGAGGACACGTTCAATAAAATACACATTTTTCTGTGTCAGCCATCCTTTGCCAGAATCCAGAGAGAGAAGCTCCCCTCATCATGCAGTGCAGTGAATCTGTGACCGAACTGCGACCAAACTCCACCTGCAGCTTCAGCTGTGAAGAAGGTTTTGAACTGCAGGGAGCAAACACCATCAAGTGTTCTGAGGACGGACAGTGGAATAAAAACACACCTACATGCAAAGGTCTGAAAGACTAATTATATCAATATTTACTACAAACAGTGTTACTCAAGATTTTTTTTTGATTGATTATGTCCTGACATATTAATAATATTTTCCTCTTTTCTCTTTTGTAGCGAAAGGATGTCCTGCTCCAGAGGTGCCAACAAATGGTCAGATCAGCTGCAGCCCTTCTCTGTCTTCATCTCTTAGTCATGACACACCCCATCCACTTGGCATGGTTTGTCATTTTACATGTGATGAAGGACATGAGCTGCAAGGTGCACACAGCATGGAGTGTACACATCCAGGCCAATGGACCTCCAGATCACCAACCTGCACAGGTACATGTGAACCCATTTTACCTGGATTACTTGTTGTTCAGAATGTCATTTGCATGTTAATGACATGAAAGTGAAATCTTCCTGTCCTTTACAACAGCTGTTACATGTTTGTTGCTTGAGCCTCCTGAAAACGGTCACATCAGTTGCTCCAGCACTGAGTCAGTTTACAACTCTCAGTGCTCCTTCACCTGTGACCAAGGCTACTCATTAGAAGGACCTGAGCTGCTGACATGTGGTCATCATGGCAACTGGACTGCAGAGAAACCCACCTGTCAAGGTAAAGAAGAAACAACAGATAAAAGGGGAAAAGAAACATTCACACCTTTACAAATTTTAGTTCAAATGTTCACATTATTCATATTTCACAATGTTTCCACAGCTCCTGCTCCAGTAGCTGCAATTACCGCTGGTGTGGCAGCAGGGGCTACTGCCTTGTTCTCTGGTGTGTCTATGGTTATGTGGCTCTTGAAAAAAATGAAGAAGAAAGCTGACACATATGAGCTGAGCAGGTTAGACAAGGATTCACCTCTTTGTTCTCTGCTGTGTTTCTGAATATGTTGACTTTGAAAGAACTGAAGAACAAATCAGTTATGTGTGAACTCAGCCGGTTCGGTTTCACCTCTTTTCAAAACTGTTTTTTAAGTTTGTTGAATTTAGTTGCTCATATTCTTCTCTCTTTTATTACAGCAACTCTGACACAGAGGCTCCTCTACAGAGCTACAAAACGCAGTGACAGCCTGATGTAGAAGACACTTCTGTTCTTTGTAGACAACTACAGACAGTATATGTTTCAAAACAGCAATGTGAAAATATGAATCATATATACTCATTTAAAAGGAGTATAAAATAAGTAAACCCAGTGAGTGGATGTGACATTTGCAGATTATAT